AGCTCAGGGAACATAGGGGAACAGGGGGCAGAGAGAATATTAATGCATCTCTCAACTCTCACCAGTGAAGCTTCCTTACCTTAAGCCTTAGCCACCCAGGGCTCAAGGACCATTGTGGAAGAGGGGTGGGAAGGCTGTAAGAGATAGGGGTGGTGGAAACCTCCCTTTGAGTTGTTGGTCAGGGTAGTCAAAGAGACCCCCCCAAATGACACAGGCTATTACCTGTCAGGCTATTTCCTGGAAACAGTTTTCCAGGTGGCTTGGAACTTGCTCTTAGGAACTTACGGCAATGGTGACATCATGCATGAGACCCATGCAAACTCAAACCAGGCAAAAACCCAGCATAGAAGTGGGGAAATGGGTAAGAGGTCCCAGCCTTAGCTGAGGAACTATTGGCAGCTGATCAGTGCTGAGTGAGGGAGAATTGGTCTTCTTTAGTGCTCAATAGGTTGACCAGGCTCCAGTGGATGACTCACACAAGGAACATCTGGGGACACAAACTTGACTAGCTAGGCCTTAAAATACATGGCAGAATGCATGAAATCCAGCACTAGCTGCTCTTGCAAAGGACCTGGGTTCAATTCCTACCATCCATGTAACAGCTAACAACTGTCTGTAACTCTAGTTCCAGGGGAATCCAGTGTCCTCTTCTACCTCCATGGGTATTGCATGATATGGGTGCACTTACATGCACTCATACACCTTAAACAAAAATACATATTATATGAAATTCACAAAAAATTCATTCAATTAAAAATAGAAAAAAAATCTAGTGATGGATGTCACAGGAAATTCAGAGACTTTGGAGCTGAACTAGGGCTCAAGTCCCTAAACTGTGGTCCATGGCCACTCCAAATCAAAGTCACCTGAAAATTTGGTAACAGAGGCAGATTCTAGGGCCTAGCATCAAACTCTGTGTATCAGAATCTCCATGAGTCAAGAGTCTTTTTATATCCTAACAAGGGGCCTTGGAAACCTCATTTAAAAATTGAAAAAAATTTTTTATTGTACTAAATTTTATTTTAAAATTTCATACAGGTACACTATATATTCTGATCCCTCTCCCCCTGTTATTTTCTTCCCATCTCTTTCCTCTATTTAAGCTCAGATTATTCTTTTTAAAAATATTTTATTTATTTTATTTCATTTATTGTTTTTATTTTATGTGTATGAGTGTATTGCCTGCATGTATGTGAGTGTACCTGTGTCATGCAATGCCATGGAGGTCAGAAGAGGGCTTTGGATTCCCCTGGAACTGGAGTCAAGGACAGTTTGTAGCTGCCATGTGGGTGCTGGGAATCGAACCCGGGTCCTCTGCAAAAGCAGTCAGTGCCCTTAACCACTGAGCATCTCCATACATGCATATAAGGTGTTTTGATAGAATCCATGCCCACTCCCTCCCTTCCAACTCGTCCCACATCTCCCGATCAGTTTTTTCTGATAATTTCATGTACTCTTTCTCCTTCTTTGATTTATTTCTTTATGGGGATTTTGGCTACTCTAACATTTCCCCCTCTGAAGAGGTAACCATAAAATCTATGAAGTAATAGATAAAAGTAACAAAATGTTTTCAATATTTTTGGCCTTTGGGATGGAGTATGTGCCTAAGAAGCGCAAGGACATTGTGAGTTTTAGCCAAGAAACTGGCTACTTTTCTTTGGGGTCTTTTTACCCTAACTGCCTAGCCAATTCCTACCTCCTATTCTTACCACACCATCCTCTGAAGAGGTTACCCAACTAGCAGATAGGGAATCGGTATGCAGACCACTCTGGCTTCTTCCATGCTGAACAGGGACGCAGGGTGAGGCAATTGGAGTACCTCTTCAGTGGGTCTAGCTAAAAGACTCCCAAATTGCATGACTCTTGTCTCTAAGGGGAAAAGAAGGTCCTTGAATCATGAATAGGAGATGTGAAGGAGAAGTAAAGGCAAGAGTAATTAGCATTACAGGTTCTAGACAGGGAACTAGAAAAAAGTCAGAACAGGGCAATTTTCAAATGTTCATATGAGAGTCCATTGGAATTTCTTGACAATGGCTTCCAAAAGCATCCCTCTGTTGGGTTCTTCCTCATTTTTCTTTTGTCTTACAAGTCTGGACTCTAGCATTTTAAAATATTTTATTTTGGAGCTGTGAGATGGCGCAGTGGTTAACAGCACTTACTGTTCTTGCAGAGGACATGGGTTCAATTTCTCACCACCCACATGATGACTAACAACCATCTGTAACTCCAGATCCAGGGGATTCAACATCCTCTTCTGGCCTCTGTGTGCACTACATGCATACAGTGCACTTACATGCAGGCAAACATTCACACATAAAATAAATATTTAATACATTTTAAATTATATGAATATATGTGTATGTGTCTCTGTGTGGGTTTGTGCATATGAGTGCAGTGCTCATGGAAGCCAGAAGATCCCCTGGAATTGGAGTTACAGTTATGAGCTTCTGAAATGGGCTCTGGGAATTGAACTCAAGTCTTGCTGCAAGTGCAGTACATACTTTTAGCCACTAAGCTCCCTCTCCAGCCCCCTTTGGCATTCTCTTGATGACAGTAATTCTCATCCAAAGTCATGGTCAAAAGTGGAAGCTTCCAGGCTCCCCAGGAGTTGGAGGCTGCCAGCCTATAGCAAGAAAACTAATCTCAGAGGATATATTAGATGTTTCCTTGAGAAGTTGAAGCAGAAGAATCATGAATTTGAGGCCAGCTTGGGCTACTTATTGAAACCTTGATATAAACAGGCAAAACAAAACACTAAACTAAATGGCATAAATTACAATTTAGGAAGCACAATGATACAACTGGCTAATGAAGGCCTGTCTTTGTCTCTTTGTGACACATTAACCACAAATATCATGTGTGTGTGTGTATGTATATAAAAACATATATATATACCAC